AGCACTGTGAACATAAGAGGATTTCTACAAACGGGCATATTAACTGCATAACCTCCGTAATTGTTTCTTTGCATTAAAAATACAGAATGCGACAACTACAGACTAATTTCATATTAACGTTTACCGGAAGATAACACTTGCAAGAAACCGGAAGGAGAAATTGAGAACGAAGTTTAAATATACGACAACTCATTGAAAAATCAAGAGAAGTACTTTAGATAGTACCTATTATTATAGACGCATCAATGTCAATATACTTTTTTGATAATGAAACTTGAGTGCCTGTGTTATGTATTTGTGTTCAGTGATTTATGTTTATCTATTCTGGAAGCATTCAAAATGGATTGCAAAAGAAACCCACATGTTCTCGAACAACTAGAAAAACAATGCGAAGTTTTAAATTCCATAAAAATCAAGAAGTTGGAATACTTGGGGCACATCATGAAAGGTGAAAAATACGAACTATTAAGGGATATAATGTAGGGCAAAATCAAACGCAGAAGAAGCGTAGCACGACTTAAACTCTCGTGGCAAGGCAATCTCCGTGAATGGTTTGGATAAAGTTACAACAATACAATAATAATTGCCAGAATGATCTTCAATCTCCGATAGAAGCGGAACTTGAAGAAGAAGAGAATACAAAAAGTAAACGATCTAATGAATGTCTATCTAAAAATTTTCATTAAAAGTGAAGACTAAAAATGAAAGAGAAAATAATTTACTAAGCTACAGAAATCTTCCATAATTATAGATAATGTATAAGGTCACAGGTCCATCACAAAAATATCTGAAGACATTAAAATCCATCTAGACAGTAGTGTAGATGTTTAATTATCCAGCTACATTTATTGACAATTAAGAAAACCATCTTTTATCTTGAAGCTGTGCCTGATTACTTCAAAATTTTGTTTCCTTCTACCTAATTTGCGGTAGGCCTCTGCTTTTTCTTCCTACACGTCTTCCTGCAGTTAGCTTTTTAGCGAATGTCTTGTCTGTCATTCGTACTATGGTTCTTGTAGACACTCTACTCAAAACTACTCAAATTATGTATTTTCAGTGAATGAAAGGCTCGTGTAAAGTATTTCTAAATATAATGAATTCAGAAGAATCAATCAAAAACTAATCAAAAATATATACAAGGAGCATTTTGAAGTCAATTGGATTAAAACGTCATGTAAGTATTGTTAGTTCAATCCTTTCTAGCAAAAGTATACCTCAATCAGCAATACACTTACTCATAATGACTTAAGGTACTATTACTTCTGTTCTGTA